AGGTGAGGGGTGCTGCATCCCCCTGCTCGCCTGTGTCGACATGGAGCCGCTCGCTCTTCAGCCTGCGTGGGAAGTGGTCGTTTTCCGATGAGTTTGGTCCATGTTTAGGAGCTGAAGTAAAGGAGGTTGTAGCCAGGTAGGAGTCAGGCTCTGCTCCCAGGGAATGGGCGATGGGATGAGTGGAAATGGCCTCAAGTTGTGCCAGTGCAGGTTTAGGTTGGACGTTGGGAAAAATTCCTTCCCCGAAAGCACTGTCAGGCACTGGAAGGGGCTGCCCAGGGAAGGGGTTGAGTTCCCATCCCTGGGGGGATTTAAAAGCCGGGCAGTTGCGGTGCTTAGGGTCAGGGTTTGGGGGTGGGATGGCAGGGGTAGGGGAACGGTTGGGCTTGGTGAGCTTAAAGGGCTTTTCCAACCTGAATGATTCTGTGATTCTATGTCCCAGCATGGGGCTTCTTTAAAAACCTATCCACTGGCTGCACAGAGCGGCCACAGGGATGTCCCCACGGAGGGGACCACAGGGCAGGGCAGTCCTGGTTCCTGCAAAGGGAGGCTGGAGGTGCCGGGGTCTTGGGCAATGGGATCTCGCTGCTGTGTGCCCACCAAGGCCAGGCCCTGAGTGCTCAGGTGATCTGTCAGGGTTCTCCAGGGGCTGGAATTAGTTTGGGTTGTGGCATCAACTGAAGAGTTATCCCAGAGCCAGGGATGCAGCATCCCAGGGGCCAGCGTTAGCGTTGGGACAGAGTCCGGCTGCCTGGCCCCCCGGATTCAAATGCATCTGGCCTGGCTCCTGGGAAGAGAAATTGCTGGTGGTGGGGAAGTGTGGTCTGGGGGAGGCTGAACTGGGGTGGTCAGGGAAGGGAGCTGGGGCTGCAAAGGTCCTGGAGTGGATGAAGTGGTGTGTCCTTACCCAGCAGAGCCTTGCTCCACCGCTTCCCTTCCACCCGCACGGATGCTCTCCGGAAGGGAGGCAAGTTCTGCTGTCGTGCACCTTCTATAAACCAGAGCGTTTCTCATTTCAGATATCCAATGTCTGGATTTTAAATTCTCTCTAACATTTGTCAGCACTTTACAGCCTTTTGCAACATCTTTATGGTGTTATAAAAAAAGAGGGAGAGATTTGAGGTTATGAGCTACTGTACAAGGGGATAAAACTGACCTTAAAAGTATGAACTTGCTGTGCAAACCCGCCTGCCCGACAGCCTGCTCTGCTGCAGGGGCCAAGCCTGACCGCTGGGAGTGACAGGGACGAGGGGATGGCAGTCCCAGGGACAGCTCGTTATTGTAAGTGATTGCAAATAATAAAAGCAGCGAGGGGGAAAAGCTCCCATGGAGCTGGAGATTGGGGTGCTGCAGCCCTGGGCTGGGGCTGTGCGTGTGTCTGCAGGGTGCCCGGGGCTTGAGCACCGGTGTCCGGCAGGGGACGGGCCGGGGGCTCGCCCTGCCGGGTGGGCAGCGTGTCCTGTGAACGCCACGCAGTGGGAGGACGGGCGCTTTGACGCAGCGGTCACTGCTGCGGTGACACCCAAGCTGCTCTGACCTTCTTTTATTTCAGAGAGATTTGGACATCTGTCAGGGAGCTTTTCGCACCCTGCAGGAGCCTTTGGCCCTCTTCAGCCGGCGGCGGGGCTGGCGCAGCCCTTGGCGGCTCTGAGCAAAGGGCAGCACAAAGCGCAGGTAGTGGGGGGGCATCGTGAGCCGGGGGAGGTGTCGCTGATGCTGATCAGCTGGGGGACATCTGGGCAGAGGTGGGTGAGTGGTGGCTCAGCCCCCCCCCATCCCAGTGGAGCCCTGTGCCCCTTTGGGAAGGCCCCCCAAAAGAGGAGGTCGCTCATGGTCCTCCACAGAGGAGATGCAGGCTTGGTGTCGTTGGCCCTGGGGTGGGGTAGGGTGGTGGTGTTGGGATGCGGTGACCCTGGTCTTGGTGGTGGGTTTGGGTCAGAGCCCCTGCATCACCTTGGGGGGGTGTGTGTGTCACTGAACCTTCACCGTGCCTCAGTTTCCCCTTCTTCCCTTGCGTGGGCACCATGAGTACAACAGTGTTGGAGACGGGATGAGGGCTGGGCTGGCCATGGAGAGGACCTCACGGGGACCTCAGCCCAGGGAGGGGGGCCCATCCTGAGGTGCTGGGTGCTGAACAGTCCCCCCACCAAAAGATCCTCAATGCTTTGCTTGAAAAGGGGAAATCTGCCCCACAGTAGCCACCAGTCAAGGAGACGCAGGTCCTGCTGTTTGTGGTGACCTGTCCCAGCCACAAATCGCCCAATTTATGGTCCTGACACCTGAGAAGCAGAACAGGCAGAGCAGAAATTAAGTGAATGAGACAAGCGTGCACGCAATTAGGACAGACCTTTTAAACACTGCCATGAGAGCCGGGGCAGGGAGCCGCTGCCTAATCAAAGCAACAGCAGTTCCTTTTTTTTTTTTAAGATGAGGGAGACTTTTGGGATACTTTGTCCACATAATGTTCCAATTTTAGCTCTGCATCCCGGGATGTAATTGCATTAAAAAAACACAGGGAGGGGAGGATGCCAAGGGCACCCGGGGACCTGCCTCCGCTGGCGTGTCCCCACCAGCGTTCCCTGTGTCCCGCTGCATCCCCGAGGCCCTGTTTCGCATTCCTGTTGCTGATCATCTCCCAGATCTGCTTTCCGGCTGCTCCGCTAATGGTTATTCTGGTAAAGGCCCTCTCCACGCGGTCCCACGGGGCATCCGAGCGCAATCGGGCATCGATCGCTGTGAGTTTTGGGGAATGACCACAAATGATGTGGTTTGGTGGGATGGGGCAGCGCTGATGCCGAGATCTTCGCTCTCGGCGCGGGGTGGCTCCCTTCAGCTCTGCCAACCCTGAGTGCACAGAGTTTCACTTGAAAAACATCAGCTTTTTTTTGTAAATAAAATTTAAGGGAGGTTTTGAGCCTTTTGGGACTGGGCCATGCTTTTTTTTTTCCATGTGTCTTAAGCATAAGGGCTATGCATTTTCTTTCGCTTTCATTGAAAAGTGAAACTGGAGCTTCAGGAAAAATCCTGAGGTCTCTGGAGAGAGTCCAGGGTTAACGGGTACCGGAGGGATGCACACAAACTTCAGGCTGCTAAATCCTTCTGCCAAAAAAAGTAGATTTACTCATTTTTTTTTAATGTAAAGCTCTGTTTAGTTATGCTGCTCAGTATTTTAACCAGTGAAGCAGGCGTTTAAGGATCTTGTTGCTAACATTTTTGGCTAATGATGGAGTGGGTAAGGCTGGAAGGGACCGCTGGTGGTGGGTCCAGCCTCCTGCCCGATGTCCAGCTGGTTTCCAGGCTGGAGCACATTGCACAGGTCCTGGTCCATCCCGGCATGCAGATGCCCTCCCTGGGCAAAAGCGCTGTTCATTCCTTCAGGAGACAGTGGCAAGCGCTGCGGTCAGCGTGGGGTGGTGAGATCCCCCGGGGTGACACTGGGCTGGCTCCGTTTGAGCCGAGCAGGGTTGGGGGGCAGCTGGGGTCACCCTCCATCCTTGCAAGGTCCCGCCTTTTGCCTCTGGCTCATTTCACAGCACATGGAAAAACTTTCTGTTACTTTTTGCTAAATATAACTTAAGGAAGGTGGTGGTTGGTCCCTTCCAGGGTGTTGGAATGAGCGAGATGGGTCTGGAGCCTCAAAAAATGCCGAAACCTGCTGAGGACAGAGGCGTTCACTGCATGGGTGGGAGCGAACCCATGCCCCGTGGGGGGGTGGGGTGGGGGGGGTGGGGGTGTCCCTGCCACCCCCGTCCCTGCTGAGCGGATCCCTCCAGCCTCGCAGGGCTTT